CAGGGTCAGAGCATCTAGTCAGATACAACCACAAAGCTTGCCCATGATTCCTTATACATGCCTATGCAGATGCTGGGGAATACTCACTCATCTCTATCTTCCAAGGGTGTTGTTGAGAGCTGCTTAGGTGTTTCTATGCTTATGGTTCTTGATATTATAGTATTGATGATAGGATATAATATATATTAGGATGTGTATAATGTACAGTAATGATAAGATAGTATTTAGATTTCTTTAAGAAACTTACCCCACCTCCTATTTTTGAGTCTGGCTACATGAGACATGTTTGCCACAATATTTGCTGTAAGTATCCCAACTCTAGCTTTTCCTGTATATGGCCCACTTAAAGGACAGGAGTGAACACATCCAGCCATCCTGATGGGGTGATGGGGTGGGATGGGGGAAAGGCAACAGGTGAGATTCAGCTATATAGGAAACTCGGCTTTTAATGGACGTCCATCCAGGCCATGTTCACATGGGTCATTAGAAAGCATATCCTCCTTCATATGCACAGGACTTTTACCTGCAAGGACCCATTAGTGCTAATGGGTCATTTCCCTTCCATCTCTCCAAGGATCAAAAGGATATGCTGCATCTTTGATGAGGTGGTAATGGTACACAGGGCTGAGCCCACTTAAGCGTTTCCTTTGTTCTCTTCAGATGGAAACCCACCGGGGATCTTAAGACCACTCTCTAATATATGAAAAGTTTATAAAGACAGTGGGGGGCGGGGGAGGGGGGGCATAAGTGCAGCTTCAGTAATGAAAGTGAAAATAAGTCCCAGGTGTATACATGCAGACCCATTCACCTTGGAATGTTTGAGGTTCATATCAGATCCTGCATTGCTTCATATGATATTTCCTGTTTTCTCAGAACACTTCTCTTCCACATGCAGTCAAAAGACATCAGGCAAATAAGCTTACTAATTAGGAACCGGGACTTGTGGTAGGAAGCAGAAAGGGAAGGAAGTGTGCCCTCTTTAGAATTACCTCTCTACCATGCCTTACCATTTTTTTTTCCTTTCTTGACTTTTTATTTCCCTATGTAACCTCCACCTATTGGGTGTCAAGTAATATTTACTCATTGTCCACAATGCACAGGTAATACAATAGATTTTAAAACAAACACTGAACAACCTCCAGGAAGTTGGAATCTGAAAGAAGCATGGAAATCAAATGTCCACCATGACTTGTATAATTTTCAGTCTTAAATTCTATATCTAAACCATTTAAAGGCAGTGCTAAGAATTCTTTTCTTGGGGGGGCGCAGAAATTCAAGACAGGTTTTCTCTGTGTAGTTTTGGTGCCTATCCTGGATCTCGCTCTGTAGACCAGGCTGGCCTCGAACTCACAGAGATCTGCCTGCCTCTGCCTCCCAAGTGCTGGGATTAAAGATGTGTGCCACCACCGCCACCCTGCTAATGCTAAGAACTCTTTATTCAGTCTCACACTATTATCTAATACTGTGTATTTAGTCCTAAGAAAGAATTAAAGCACCCCAAAGAATTTTAGTTCAGGATATCAGTGTAGGGAGCATGTCTTTGATTGATATTAGACACACTGAAGTATAAATCTCAGCTCATATTCTCTAGTGTTCAAGACAGCAACTTTTCCCAGTTTTTTCTAATCTACCTTGATTTCTTATTTTGAGCTATAATTCTTTGAGTTAATGAAAATGAAAACTTGAGAAATTCTGGTTCCCTTCTCCCCCTCAAGTCATTTCTGAATTACAGGGCTGACCATCAGAAACTCCCCTCGTACCAGTCCTCTGGGAAGTAGAGAGATAAAGTAGAAGCCCGAGAGTCACTCTCAAATATTCCATGGTCCCCACGCAGACACCTACTGAACTTTTGTCTAGGCATTACACTCTTGTGACGGGATCTACCCAGGTCAGACTTGGTCTACTATTTCTGGGTCATCTGGAAATTATTCTATTGCTCTCACAACACAGTAGAGAATGGAAAGTTCCATGAAGCAGGAAAAAACTCCCAGAAAGCTAATTCTATCATGAAAGTGTTCATCCACCGGATCTTGCTGCTGCCTCTGGGTTCTCCTGAGGAAACACCCCCAAGCCCCATTTCTCTCCTAAGTCTACCTGCAGTGTTGATACCCAGCAGGGGTCAGCTCTGAAATTAGAAAGCTGTGCCCTCTTTTTGACAGTCACTAGTAGCTACACTCACACAGTTAGGTTTCTATAGCTCCTGTTTGTCCAGTTGCTGTATGAAAAAGTTTTACTTCCATTATGTGAATCCCTATATATCCATCATATTCCTAGAAGAATCTAGGTTTTGAAAACTCAAATGCAGAAAGCTAATTTTATATCTTTGATGTATGACTCATATCTTTTCTGAGGCAACTAAAACACAGTGACTTTAAATGTAAAGGAATAGAAAGACAAAGGAGAGAATGGAAATATGGAGGAAAATAATCAAATAATATTACAAAAATAGTATCCTATGATGAGCACTATGCTATCCTTAAATACCAAGGGTGATGATTTATTCAGTGTTATTTAGAAGATGGGGGAGAAATACATTTAATACCTTCTGCACTAATTAGAAGACACCAGTGGCACACTGTTGTAATAAAAACAGTTTTATTTGGTAGTGTAAGGGGCAAAATTTCTCAGTTCTTGAGGCTGCATGATATTGATAAAGCTACATACTTTCTTTCTCAAATTTTTCATCGACACAATGCGGGAGTGTCAGACTGGGGGCTTTGTTTTACTCTGCTTACGATCGAGTAAGTTAGCTTATGGCTGTTTGACGAACACTGCTAGAGGACACGAACTCTCAGGCTTGAAGACCAAGGACTCCGTTACTCACACTTCAGCAAATCCTGTGTACAGCAGTTCTTGTTCTCCAGTCTCACAAAGACAAGGGAGCAGCCCAGATGAGCATTAGGAATGTACAGATCTTTTTTTATACTGGTAAAACTATACTGAGAGCCATGAAGTTAGAATGATTAAGGTAAGAGAGATTTTATGGAGAAGCAGTGGACATGGGTACCAGAAGAACTTACAATCCAGAGCAACAGATTACCGAATTCTGAGGTCCCCCTCCTTATGCCATGTATTTAATTTTTTAATGATATCTACTAAATGCTATCCAGTCACTGTGAATTGTCTGCAGACAGAATAACACGGGGATTCTAAGAGTGTTGGTAAAGTTAGAGAAACCTAAACCTCGGAGCCTGTAGACAGCAAAGCTAAGCAAAATGTTCCATTTGAAACTGGAGGAGAATCAGGAAAACAAATTAATAACTTCTTTGAAAATCCCAAAGTAGCACAGACTTAAAAGTGGTGGTGTTTTTTAACTTAGCAGAGAAACGTGTGAAGAATTACATAAGCCAGACTATAAAAGGATTGAGTCAGTGAAGAAGATACTCAAGCGAAGAGGGTCAGGCAGAAAACTCCAACTGGTCAAAACACAGAGGAGCAATGTTTGTGGGATGCCTAGCCCCAAATGATACATCTATAGCTCAACTCTCACATCTAAAACCCAGGCAGCAGGAAGAGGGGAGAAGAGCCAGAGAACCAGGGAAGCTGCTGTGACATTGTGTCTCCTAAAAATGACTGGGAAGCTTATCTCATGATACCTCTATGACATAGCTGCCTAAATAAGACCTGAAGAGCTACAGCACCAGTAGACATGCTTATATGTGGAAGGCAGAAATCTCCCGGGACCCCACCCCAGGAAGCTAAAGCATGCCAAGTGTTGGGATTCTGCCGTGCTCCAGCTGCATGATTGTACATGTGCAGTTCAGGAGCTAGACAAGTGGTCTTGTGTCTTACATCATCAGTGTGCGCTGGTGATTATGAATGCCCTGCGTGGTCACGCGATCTGCGCATGTGTAGTGTAGCTCCATAAGCTCACCTGCACCTTAAAGAGCCGTGACTCAGACCCTACCCCCTCTCTCTGTTCTATTCTCATCATTCTGTCTCTCTTTGCACCTGCTCCTTCCCCAGACCTGGTTCTCTTGTCTCCCCCCTCACCTCCTAATAAAGCTCTGATACTGATACTGGGTTTTGTCATGGCCATGACCTTTCCGTGAGGTAACCAGCACCGCTTACCATTTTTAAACCAAGAGCAGGAGAAATGGTCTGCCCCAAGGATGAGTCCCCTGAGTACTTACTGTTCAGCCCTGAAATCATATATGTAACAAGTAAAACTGAGTGAATGAGCAAGTTGTCTTTATATATTTAGGGGGACGTGCACGCGCACACGTGTGTGTGTGTGTGTGTGTGTGTGTGTGTGTGTGTGTGTGTGTGTGTGTGTATGTATGCGCACACAACAGTAACAACTAAAGAAAAAGAGGCCATGATGTCCAGAGGAAGCAGGGGGATACATAAACGAGGTTGGAGAGAGGAATTGGTAAGGGGAAAAATTACGTAATTACATTTTAATTTTAAAAAATAAGAAAGCAAAAAGCAAGCAAGCAAAAAGATAGTGTAGACTGTGACTTTAATCAGCAGAGTCCCACAGCTTCTGGTTCACTAAAAGACTCAGAGCCCTGAGATGAGGTTTATTTGACAAGAATGCCCCCTCCCCTTTTGTCTGTCACATACTTTCACTCTGGCAGGGGTTCCCTACATGTCACATCTTTTGTTTCTCAAAGTTAACACAAGAAGATGTTTTATTGTTCTCATTTGAGAAAAAGGGCTTGCTAGTAATTTGAGAAACTGCCCTAGAATACAGTTACTAAGTAATTAGGTTGGATTTCTATAAGTGTATGCTTATTCTCTCCACTGTGCTCTTTTCATTTAGTGGCCCTTAGTGAATCCTTAGAGTGCTTTTGATAGTAACATCTAGAAAAATCTCAGGTGCTAATATATTACTCAAATGTTACATTATTTTGTACTTTTAAGAACACAGCAGGTCATACAATAACTTCACCGATTTAATATAAAAGAAACATCATCTCTTTTATCTTCTCATCATACTGTGTGTTCAATATTGATTCTGAGACCCTTTTGTGACAGCTCCATTGATCTTTCCATAGGTGACTTGTACATTGGAGGAGTGGCTAAAGAAACGTACAAATCCTTGCCAAAACTCGTCCACGCCAAGGAAGGCTTTCAAGGCTGCCTGGCTTCTGTGGACTTAAATGGCCGGCTTCCAGATCTCATCTCGGATGCTCTTTTCTGCAACGGGCAAATTGAGAGAGGATGTGAAGGTACCTCATCTCTGTTATTACATAACACAATTCTGATACAACCAACATATAAATTCAATTAGGAAAAAAAACTCACTAGCCAGCAAATAGTCTGCTAACTGGTAGCATTTTCACTTAGAACTTAGAAATTCTTATTCATGTTTTAAATATTTTATTCCATAAATCTTAAATTTTCTGAATTATTCACAAGAATGTGCTAAGGCCCAACACGTAATAGGAGCTATAACTATGGACCTTGTCATTTTCTTCTTAGCGGACTACAGTTAGGCTAACTGGCATGTTAATGAGTTCTGTAATGTTTGCATTATAGCCATCAGTTAGCCACTTAAAATAGAAAAAAAATTATAATATATTTAACCCATTTCAAACTTTGCATTCATTTGGATAAAAAATGAGAGAAGGGCTCAGATACTCATTCTCAAACCACGATTTGATCTGTGTGTATCTGGTAGCAAGCAATATATTCTCTGTTTTGTCAAAAATAATTTTTTATTTTATCCAGGGCTAATGTACAATGCTTTGGAAATGTACTCAGTTCTCTTCCATTCTTTCATGCATTCTGTCAGATCAAGAGCTACAGAAATATTTTTTGATTGCTGCTTTCATTTGGGGTCATTTCTTACTTCAACACCTCAGAGTTTTTGAGCCAATTCTACCTATATAAATGTAATTCAGTCACATTATCATGAACCGTGGGACTCTGGGTGTGTTACTGCTACAGTTTCTCCTTAAGGTTCAACACAGTTTGGTCTATTTTGAAAATTTAGATTTATAAGAAATTTTATATGAGAGAAAAGGAAGATGCAGGCATGATTCCTCTGCTTTAGGAGATTATGAATCACTTCTTCTCAGCCAGAATAAAGTCATTATATTTGGCAATTACCTAAATCTGCACTACTTTTAATTTTGAAATCACATTTTTTCAATTTCCAAAACATCCATTTCTTTGAAAAGCTAACTTAAATTCAAACTGTTGAAGTAATAAAAGAGATTAAGAATATTAATGGAAGACTTCTTTGAATTCACTTTAATGTTATCACCATATTTAATTATTGACTTATTTATTTTAAATTTTGACATAACACTTGTTATGTGGTTTCTCATACTCCATATTTAGTAAACACAATTATTAAGCAAATATGTTTCCTGTAATAGATGAATTAAAAATATGAGATATAATTTTGTTCCTTAGAAATGGTCTAACAAGTGAAACTATGTCATTTATTTATATTTTAAGGGAAAGGTACGACAGTTTTAGATACCACTTTTGAAAAGTAAGCCTTGTTGCAGGTTGGATGGCAAGGACTTTCTAAAAGAGACTTTGACAGCTCAGTAACCACCAGACAGGAAGAAGAAATGCGTACACAGGGCCCTCCCCACACATCCTGTTAGTGAAGGGCGGAAGGAAGCTCATGGGAGCAAGACTGCAAACCAAATGTTTGCAGCCGTAACACTTGCTCTTGTTTTCCGACCTAGTCTAGTAGGCAATTTGTTGAGGATACTTAATTATAGGTTCCTCTTCACTGGCCTTAAATGAGCTTCTGCATATTTGCATTCACTGTGGTAGCTTATGGAATAGCTCTGCCCATGCATATAAGAAGTTTTAAATACTTCAGCCTTAACAATTGCCATCCCTTCTCATGGCTTCTTTCTCTACTCTGGAACTGTCACCACATCGCAGTCTTTCTGACATCATCCCCCCCGATGATTTCATTCCTACTTTTAATTTGACCATTTCTATCCTGACTTATTATAATGATTAGCTCAGATAAACTTGTCATGGGTGTAATTGATGAGATTCCCATGACTTTAGGGCTAGCAATTAAATTATACATACCCAATGTATTATCTCTTCAAAGACAGTTGTCTCATGGAATTTAACTCCTTCTCAGATTCGAATCACTTAACTTCTGTGTTAATAGAAATGGTGTGTCTTTGACATCTCCAAATAATAGCTTGTCAAGGTTTTCCATCATTCTTACCTAACAAGACTGGCCAAACTTCAAGTTCCTGGCCCATAAAAGGTTCTTGATCTTCCCACAGTAATCACTTGTTACATTTAATATCTAGCTTATTTCAATGGACAACAGTTGATTCGTATATAAACAGCTTGAGAAGAAATCTATCTTCAGTCCTGTATTTAGACTGGTATTTTTCAAGCATCAGCCTATATTGAGCTGACTTGAAGAATTATTAAAACCCGAATTAGCAGACATTAACATCAGGACTTGTGATTCAAAAGGTCTGGCATGGGTCCTTAGAATTTTACCAAATTCCCAAGTAATGCCTATGCTGCATGTCCCACATGTTGAAAATTTCCTCATCAGATGTTATTTTTCTGCATACAACAGGAAATTGAGACTGATAATCAGCCATGAGAGTAGGCTCATTAAATTCCAGATGACTTCTCAACAAAATCAGTGACATTTTGATACTCCTTCTGTAGACCTGTGCACTCTGTCCTGAATTGCTTTGTGAATGGCTGCAGTGAGTTGCGGTCTGATTATAATGGCTGTCACTGATTAAGCAATAGTGGTTGTGAGTTTGTATATACCATCTTATTTAATCCTCAAAACACTATAAACACTCATGACTGCCCTTTTCCCAGATGAGTAAACTGAGCCTCAGATAAATCAAACAACATTTATAAGATTAGGGAAGTAGAAGACAGGTTTCAAATTACAGTTTCCTTCACTTGGAAGGACAGGCGTCTAAACCAACAGTCCTTTCTTGTCCCTTAGGTCTACAGAAATTGTGCTTTGACTTCCATATTTTCTTCCCCTTTCAGTCATATCCTCTAAAAAAAATTCACTTAGCACAAATGTCGTTTGGCTTGTTTCCAATTTCAGTCAGTGACAATTAATGTAATAAGAAATATTATATAACTAGAGGGAAAATAAATCAAGACTTTGACTTATGCAGATCTCTATCAGTGCTTAAGCATTGTTCTAGAAGGTGAGTACTTCCAAAAACTGTGGCTGCCCAGGCACAGGGATGCAATGCCTGTAATGCCTGAAATATAAAAAGATTGTGGCAACAATGAGAACTTAGAAAAATAAACGTGTTTTAGTGCTCTCAAAGACAGCTGGCAGCTCTCTTCAGTTTAGTCAGATTCATTTCTAAGATCACAGTGTTAGTACATTTAGAGTTTAGCATCGTTGAGTAATTGCATGACATTTGTGTCGGAGTGGGGGCACTGATGGTCCTCAGTTCTTGATACTACTTTTTCTTCTGTTGGACCGGTCAGGAAGTAAATGACTATTTGATAAAATAACTTCTCCATAACACAGGACTCCCCTATACCTGATTCTCATCTGTGGTAGTAATGTCAATGAAGATTGTTTCAAGACTATTTTTAGTCTCTGACACTATGGGCCATTAGTTGGTAGACCACTGAATATGTTTGGAACTCAACAAATACTGAACAAATTAGTAATTCATGCTTAAGTTGAAAAAAATTACATCTATTCAGGTCTCCTGGTGGATTATTATTATTTCTAGTATTGCTTATAATGCTATTAATGTCTTAATTATAATTTGATGTTACTAATTATTATGACATAATTGGGATTTAACTATAGATCCTGCATTTGTATAAATGCATGTAAGTTAGGCTTACTTTAGTAATTTCCTGTGAACAATGCCTTTACTGAGAAAGTTATCACATAGTATGTTTGTACAGTACTTGTTAAACTTTATTTTATAAGACCTTGGCTTCTAATTTAAAAAATATTTATTCACTGAAACAATGGTCTCAATGGCCATCACTAGCATTGAATAACTTTGAAGTCTATTTTCACATTATTTAGAAAACATAATTATTATTGCCAGAAATGATCCCAAAGTTATTGTCTATAGATTTTCAATGGATCGTGTGCATTGTGTTCCCTTTTATCATTTTGTAAATTCTTTTTCCTGGAGTTTTCTGTAAATATTATTCACATGGAAGTTTATTAGAACTAAGGACAGTTATGAAGGTATAGGCAACACCAAGAACACCCAGCTTTTTAAGAGTGAGAATGAGTATGACATCCTGGGATCTTACAAAAGAGTGTTCTCTGAGGAGAATTACAGTACAGGTTGTTTCTACCATCTTTATGACTTTCTTCACCTTCTTCAAATGGTTCAGCAAAGCAGAGCTAGGGGCAGATAATACATTACTGCCTTAAGTCATACTTGTAAATGAAAGTTTTCCTAAACTGAGAAGGAGAAGCGCACCAAGAGGTATTTTCTCCATCGGGACCATATCTACAATGTGCGCCATAGTCCACACATGAAACATCACACTGCATGTTCCGATAAGCAAGTCATTTAAGGAATCCATCTACATCTGTACAGCAGAGGAGGAATCACAAGAGCCTTTTAAGTTTTCCCTCCCTGTGTCATTGGCTAGACTAAGCATTATATGTATATACACACATATAGTGTAAACATAAAATTTATACTGCTTTCTCATTTTTTGGCTTCTCTTAAGGTTTATGGCTGTTGGTATTAATTTGTTTGCTACACATAGCATTTTTTCCCTTTACAGCAGCATGCTTTTTTGAATCTGAACATTCTGTTTGCCCCATTTCCATATTGCTTACTAACATTTAATATATTTTGCTTTTTTTTATTTTGCTGACAAAGTTGCATTGATGAAAGCTGACTTGCAAGGTAGATAGCTCTGTGTGTATAAAACAAGACTGAAACCCCATCCTACACAGTGGAAACCCTAAAGTAACTTTTTTTTTTTTTTTTACATTTTTCAGTAACTGTTATTTGGATTCAGATTTAATTTCCCCCTTTTGGTTGTTGTTTTGGATGTTGTTTTGGACATTGTACAAGAAACCTCATTTTGTAGAGTAGTTTGCATAGGGCTTTCAGTCTTGACTATGTTTGTACAGTCCCTGCCTTTAGTGCTCCGATCACACTTTTCTGTTCTTTGTTATTCGGTGTTGTAGTTATAATTCTTTAGAAACAGAATAGTGTTCCCTTTACTTGTGCGTTCAACAGGGGCATGCCATTACATTGTTTTCATTTTATGTTAACTGCATGATATTGTCAAAGCATGTGAACTGATACTTGCCAACATACCTATCCAGAGCACCAAATAATCATGACCTTAGCCATAGTGTATGCGTGGAAGTGGCTGGATCTCACAGGGCACTTTTCCATAAGTCTGCTTGATTATTTTGCCAATCTTTATCCCAGTTTCATGATCTTATAATATCCATTTGTCATGGCATCTCAATTCATTGTTATGAAGTTAAGGAGATCCATTCATTCTCTAATGTCCAAACGGTGACAGACAATCATTAATGATAGAATAAGATTACCTGCTACCACCATGACCATCTTAGAAGCTACCAACTTCCTTTTATTATTTGTTGGCTTAGGTACAATTATGATGTATTTGTCTTGTACTTAAAGCTTAAGAAGGCCTTCAGGTTAAACTTCTCAGTTACTAGTTCAGGTGTGTGAACTTTCAAAACTAGCTTGGACATGTAATTTAAGGTGTTGGCAACTACTTTATGTGATCTAGCTCATGTAAAGAACATTCTGAATTTTTAAAAAGAACCCAAGTTTCTTTTGGCATGTTTTGCAGGGCCCAGCACGACCTGCCAAGAAGACTCATGTTCGAATCAAGGAGTGTGCTTGCAGCAATGGGATGGTTTCAGCTGTGACTGTAGTATGACTTCCTTCAGTGGGCCGCTCTGCAATGATCGTAAGTACCTGTCCAATTGTAGAGAGATGCTTGTCACCGTTTCCAGCTACTGTTTGCTGCACAAGGTCTAGAATTCTAAGTTCTTATATCATCGGCAATGGGATTGTCAGAGATGTGGCCCTCAGTTTTTTCTATAAAAGAATAAAAGCCCATTTTGAAATAACTTTTTTTTTTCAGGGCAGTGAATACCTTAGTGCTTTAATGGTGGTGGTTGATTTTCAACTATTGCAATTTTCTCTTGTTGGTTATTTATAGCCACCTTATTGGAAAGAACATTGTTAATTTCTTATATGTTGAATTCTTCCCAAATTTTTGAATCCTTGTATTGCTTTGTACTATGTAGTTTGAAAGTTTGTCAGGTGATATCTTGAGGACGTTGGTTTCTGTGTGTGGTTAGAAGTTGCATTTCTCTACCTTTCTACCTCTCCTTGAGTAAGTCCAGTCTTCCCAGTTCAATGTAAAAACACTATATTTAATCATTTTTTTCAAGACTTCTTTCTTGTCTTTTATACCCTTGAATTCTCCCCTTGAATCTCACAATGTAAGCATAATAGGATAGATAGCCCTCACATTCTATCACGGTCCTCTCCCAGAGTTGGTATCAGAGCAGTGACAATTTGAGACAGAACTTGTTGGCCAACAGAAAAAGTCTTATTTCTGAACTTTCAGAAAGGTCTTGCTTCATAGGACTTCATCAAAATGATAAAAACCCATCTTCTAATGTATATACAGGGTGTTCACAATGAAGCCTCATCTTTGACAAGTAGACTACATGCTTTGTGTTGTGTTTAAATACTACAGCATGGATGCCAGAGTTCTAGGAGAATGGGGAAAAGGATGTGATAGTTGAAGATCTGCACTGTACAAAGAGGCTAAATTTGATTTTTAATTTAAAGAGAGCTTAGAGTATTAGGTTTGGGGTTTTTTTTTCATTCTTTAATCTCTGTCAGCAGATATGTGAATCACTATATCAAAAGTCAGATCAAACTAAAATAAGTCATGGAACTGAATGGTTGCAAACTACAAATATAGTACAGTTCACCAGCTGCCTTTGGTTTCTGCCCAGAATATTGATTATAGGAAGCACAGGCCCAAAATAAGAAAGAGTATTGGAAATTAATGGTAGCCAAGGGAAGGGGTTGTCACATATCTTTAGTGTATAACCGTGAACAAGTTACCTGTGCTCCAAAAAATGACATCCTCCCATGCTTGTGTAGATACCCTTGTTTACACATGAAAGTAGGAAGGACACTCGCTGAAAAGAAATAGGGTTTCAGTAGGAGAAGAAGAGTGATCTAAGACAGGACAATGGGTGTGAGAGAAATTAATGTAAGAAAGACAACAGTGCTTAAAAAGAATCGCATGCCTGTGTGTATATTGTCAGCATGAACTGGACTAATATGGTTAATAATAATAAGACATGAGCTGAGAGAAAGATGGGTTGGAGGTCCTGGGGGCAGCTGGTCAGAAGTAGTGAGGGGTGGATATGAGCAAAATATATTGACATTTTCAAATAATAGAAGAAAAGTTATTTTGAAAGGTGCTGCCACCATGAATGCAGAAACATCTAATCCCTGCTTTTATAGGGTCATCTTCTCTAGTATATGGTAGCTTGAAGCAGTAAAATACATTCAAACCGTCATCACTTTACATATACCTTATATCCCCACATCAAATTACTCTTAAGAAATCAGTCCCTTGTGAGTTATATAAATAACCTTGTATAAAGAGTCAGTGCACTCTTACATGTACAAAAAGCAAAGACAATGATTTTTAAAGACCTCTCACAAATGCTTGATTACCGACATGTGCTTCTCTGTAGATCAACAACTGCTTGCATTTGCTCCTGTTCAAAAATGACATAAACCTCTTTTCAAGGACAACCAGAAGACTGAGAATTTGTTATGATTTCGTTATTGTAGATTTTTAATGCTGAATTCAAGCTTGACAGATGTATGACTACATGTGGTAGTCGAGAGGGCTCTTTGGTATGAAAATATTTTTCATTTTGCTCAAGAACATTCTCTGCCAAACTCTGCTAAGCCATTCCCCATGTTTTACAAAACAGTTGCCATTTGGTTTTGTCAGACCGTGTGTCCCATACACCAGTTAAATATGAAGAATGCAATTTTCTGTGTGTGTTTGTTAGGCTTTTCCTAAGGAACATCAAAATCTGACCTTACATATCAGGCTGTCCTCAAATCAGTTTTTGCAGAAAACTATTTAAATAATGCTCTTGGGTAACAGTTGTACGGATGGCAATGATAAGGCTAGTTGTTATTTTCTTGTAAATGGGTAAATGTCATTCAATAAATATGTCTCCTGATATGCCTCTTGCACAAATCAGTGCTAAATTATGTTTGAGAGCTCTCAGAATACATGAATTTTGATTAAATCATTACCTCATACTAGGTTTAATGGAAATGAGAAGTGTCCTCATGGCTTGAACATTAGTGTTTTCCTGTGATGAGGATTTGTAGATAAAGATTACTATTTAAAGATGCATCTTATTAGCCGGGCGTTGGTGGCGCACGCCTTTAATCCCAGCACTCGGGAGGCAGAGCCAGGTGGATCTCTGTGAGTTCGAGGCCAGCCTGGGCTA